AGCCATGAGACTCACCCATTTCTCCTTGGGAATCCTTGAATTCCTGTTGTTGAGCCTCGATCTTCACTGAGGGCTAGTCATCAGCTGTTTAAGTGTTCAATTATCAATAAGCCGAAGTCTGTGGAAGGCCACTATCTTGGATCTCCAGAGTTTATCTTCTGCAGCAAGTGCTTTAAGTCTTTCTCAAATTCAGCAAACAAGGTGTGTCATCTCCATAACAAACAGGTGAATCCTGATGCCACACTTTTCTTCATAGTATCCAGCTTCTTGGATACTTTGCTAAGTGTTGTTGTTGTTGTTATGTGCCATCAAGTTGCCTACGACTCATAGTATACAGATTAAATAGGTATAGAAAGAAATAGAAACCTGATACAAACCTTTCCTAATTTTAAACCATTCATTGTTTCCTTTCTCTGTTCACACAATTGCTTGTTGGTCTAATTATAGGTTTGCACGAACACCCTCCCCCCCATTTTCCCCAGTGTTAGCTTTAATTTGTTATGCTCCATATAGTCAAAAGCCTTTGCAAAGTTAATAAAACATAAATGGACATTGTTCTGGTATTCTTTGCTTTCAGCCAGGATTCATGTGACACCAGCAGTGTTATCTCTGGTGTCACAGCCTCTTCTAAATCCACCTTCCAAATCTGGCAGTTCTTTGTGTTCTCTTCTAGCCATAATGGAATGATCTTTAGCAATATTTTCCTTCATGTCATATTAATCATATTGTTCAGTCATTTCCACTTTCAGAAATAGTCATTTTAGAAAATATTGTAATAAGAAAACAGGCAAACCAAATAATAAAGAGTGATGATCTCTTCCCATTTCTTGAGGCTGTCAATTATGTGTGAATATTGATTTTTGTTTATTTAAATTAAATTTACAAAAAGAAGAATATATACTTTCATATCATAGAAGATTGTTCTTAATTATGACTAGTGGAAATAACATCTTTCAATTTTTAAAAATGTTATTATTTTCTTTTAGGTCTTCCCAATGATTTTAGCACAGAGTCTATAAGACAGATCTCCCATTCACAATCTGAAATAAAAGAAACTTATATTCAGTCACCAAGCAAAGAGGTAAGTCAAAAGAGGGGAAGGATAGATGTAATAGTCTAATCAATGAAGCTGTACAATGAAGCAGTAAATTGCTTGGGTTGAGATTGCCCATTTTTCTCTTGTGGAGCAGCTGATGAATTTGAACTGTGAATTTTGGGTTAAGTATGCAATTCTTAAATACTATCTCACCAGAGCTCCTTATGCACAGTGTAGTTAGGTATATTTTAGTTGTTTCATAAAGGCCTGATTCTTAAAAGGGAGTTCTGTCTTTTCCATTTACTTTCTAGAAAGTTTGAAAATGTTTTGTGAAAAATTTGATTTGTCGTTTCCTGTGTTGGAAATTAGTTATATGGTTGGTAGAATTGTCTACTTGGAACATTTTTCACATTTCCTAAAATGTACTGTCTTAAAATAGGCTCCTTAGAGGAGCTAAACCTGTGAAGTTTCTTAGGTGGTGCTGGGTCAGCTCTGACTCATGATGACTCTGTAGACAACAGAATCAAACACTACCAGATCCTTTTTCATCTTGACAGTTGCTTTTGTGCTTAAGACTATTATTGTAACTTCTTTGTAAGTGTGTCTCTTTGTGTATCTTTCTCATTTTCATTGACTTACTTTATCAAGTATGATTAATACCTTTCTCCAGGGTCCGGTCTTTCTGATAACATACTCAAAATATACTTCTGAGGAGGTTCCTGATGTACTACTTCCGAGATAGATTTGTCTGTTCTTTTGGCAGTCCATGTTATGTTCATTGTTCTTCACTAAGAGCACAATTCAAAGGCATAGATTCTTCTTTGATCTACCTTATTCATTGTCCTACTCTCACATTCATATGATCTAATTGAAAATCCTGTGGGTTGGGCCAGGTACACCTTTGTCTTTGAAGTGACATGGTTACTTTTTAGTATTTCGAAGAGATTGCTGGTAGCAGATTTGTCCATTGTGGTACATCATTTGATTTCTTCATTACAGATTCAATGAGTGTTAATTGTAGATTAAAGTAAAAGGAAATATTTGACTTCAGCTTTTCTCTCTTTATCATACTGTTGCTTTTTGGTCAACTTTTGTTTTCTTGTTAGGTGCTGTCGAGTTGCCTGCGAGTCGTAGTGACCCTATGTACAACAGCTTTGAAGCCTGCCCTGTCTTGAGCCAGTCTTACTATGACACACTGACCCCCATTGCCCCAGTTACTGTATCAATCCGTCTCTTCCTGGATCTTCCTCTCCTATGTTGTCCCTCCACCCTTCCGAGCATGATGTCCTTCTCCAAGGATTAGTCCCACCTGGCCATGTGCCCAAAGTATATGAGACAGAGCCTCAAAATCCTAGCCTATAGAAGAAAGTAGGTTTCACCCTCTCCAAGACAGACCTATTTGTTTTCTTGGCGGTCCATGGTATGTTCAAGACTCTTCTCTAGCACCTCAACTCATAAGCATCAATTCTTCTGTCATCCTTAGTCCTTGTCCAGCTCTCTGATGCATAGCAAGTAATTGCAAAGACCATGGCCTGGATCTGGTGTACCTTAGTCTCCAGACAGACATCGTTGCTTCTCAGCAATCTGGAAAGATACCTGACAGCAGATTTACCTGATGCAATTTGTCTTTTGATTTCCTTACTGCTGGTTTCAAGAGTGTTGATTTTGGAGCCAAGCAAGCTGTAACTGTTAACAGCCTCAGTCTTTTCTCCATTTATCCTGGTGCTGCAAATTGGCCCAGTGTTGAGACTCTTTGTCTTCTTAATGTTGAGTTTCAGTCCATATGTAACACTACAGTCCTTCACCTTTTGCAGCAAGTGCTTCCGGTCCTCTTCAATTTCAGCAAGCAAGGTTGTGCCACCTGCATAAAATAGATTGTTGATGAGTCTTCCTCCATCTTGATGCCACATTCCCCATAAAGCCCAGCTTCCCCAATGATCTGTTTTACATATAGATTGAAAAGGTATATGGAGACAGAATGCATGCCTGACATACTCGCTTCCTGATTTTGAAACATGCAGTGTTTTCCTGTTCTGTTCTGAAGACTGATTCCTGGTCCAGGTATAGGATTTTGCATAAGCAAAATCATGTGTTCTGGGATTCCCTTTCTCTTCTAGGTTAACCACAATTTGTTGTGATCCGCACAGTCAAATGCCTTTGCAAGGTCACTGGAACACAGGTAGATATCCCTCTTGTACTCTTTGCATCCTGCCAAGATCCATCTGAAATTGGCAATAATGTCTCTATTACTGTGACCTCTTCTGTTCTGAGTTGTTTCTGGATAATCTTCAGCAGGATTTTGCTTTTGTGTGATATTAATGATGTTGTTGTTGTTGTTATGGGCTGTCGAGTCGCTTGCGACTCATAGCGAACCTATGCACAACAGCCCTAAACTCTGCTCTGTCCTGTGCCAATCGCACTGTCTCTGACACTCCCATCTCGATAACCCCAGTCACCGAATCAATCCATCTCATAGAGAGCCTTCCCCTCCTGCACTGTCCCTCTACCCTGCCCAGCATGGTGTCCTTCTTCAAGGACCGGTCTCTTCTTACAACATGTCTAAAGTATGTTAGACGGAGCCTCAGAATCCTTGCCTCCAACGAGCCACCTGGTTTAACCCTTTCTAGGATGAATCTGTTTGTTTTCCTAGCAGTCCATGATACTCTCAATACTCTTCTCCAGCACCACAGCTCAAAGGCATCAATTCTCCTTCTGTCCTCCTTAGTCATTGTCCAACTCTCTGATGCATAACAAGTGATTACAAAGACCATGGCCTGTATCAGACACACCTTAGTCTCCAGAGAGACACCATTGCTCTTCAGTACTTTGGAGAGGTCCCTAACAGCAGACTTTCCCATGGCAATGCACCTTTTAATTTCCTGGATTTTAGTTTCCAGTTCCAAGACTGTTGACTGTGGAGCCAAGCAAACTAAAGCTGTGAACAATCTCAATCTCTTCATCATCCATCCTGATGCTTCCAATTGGCCCAGTGGTGAGAATCTAATGATATTGTACAATAATTTCCAAACTCTGTTGGGTCACCATTTTTTTTTTTTGGCCGGGTAGCTGTCCTCTCGATTTCTTGGCACAACCTGGTGAACATGTCCAGGGCAGCATCTGTTTGTTGAAATATATCAATTGGTATTTCATTTTTCTAAGTTCTTCAGAGCAGCCTAAAATTTCTTCTTTATCACAATTGCCTCTTGATCATATATTTATTGAAATTCTCCTGTGTCAGCTAATTCTTCTTAACTGAGATGGATTGGCATGGAACATTTTGAATCAGACTATCATATTATCTGCTATGCTGGAGAAGAAAAGGTGAGATAAAATGGGGTTGCTTTCATACTGAAAAAGGCTGCTTCTATCCATCTTGAAATACAGTTTTGGAAGTGACAGGTAAATATCCATACACATTCAAGGAGATCTGTTAATGCCACTATCATTCAAATTTATTTACCAACAACCAGAGCCAAGAAGGAGGAAATAGACTATTTCTACCAGCTTTTGCATTCAGAAATTGATCGACATGTAACCAAGTTACTTAAAAATAATGAGTGACTGGAGTGCAAAAATTGGGAACCAGGAAGAAGGATCAGTACTCAGAAAACATGGACTCAGTGACAGAAATGAGGCTGGACATAGAATGAAAGAATTCTGCACAATCAATGATTTATTCATAGCAAATAACCTTTTATAAGAAACATAAACACAGGCTATACACATGTATTTCACTTTATGGTGTGCATAAGAATCAGGTTGATTACATCTGTGGAAGGAATCTCTGGAGAAGTTCATTATCAACAGTCTGATTGTGGAACAGACCATCAACTACTCATTTGTAAGTTCAATTTAAAGCTAAAGAGGGTAAAATCAGATCTATAGGAATCAAAATTTGTCCTTGAGTCCGTAAGCCCTGAATTTAAAAATCCACTCAGGAACAGGTTTGAGGCCTTGAGCACTAATGAACAAAGACTAGAATGCAAAAGGTCATTACAAAGAAGAAGAAGAAAAGACCAAAATGGATGTCAAAAGAGACTCTGAATATTGCAGTAGAGTGCCAAGAAGACAAAGCATAGGGAAGAAATCAAGAAGTTAAGGAGCTGAATAGAAGATTTCAAAGGGTAGCATGGGAAGACAAAGAAAAGTATTATAAAGAAATTTGCAAGAAATTGGAATTTAAAAATTAAAAGGGCCATATTCACTTGACGTTTCTTAAGCTGCAGGAACTAAAGAACAAATTGAAACCTCAAGTTGTAATACTTCAGGATAGAATATTGAATGATCCAGGAAGTATTAAAAGAAGATACAAGGAGTATGTGGAGTCACTGTACCAGAAAGAATTGGCTCCACTTATGAGTAGTTTTATTATCTTTATAGAGGTAATCCAAACTGAAGGCTATATATATAGTCTTGGAATTTATCAATATCTTGGCCTTCTCAAAAACTCACTGCTTTAAAACAAAACAACAAAAACCTGATTGCTTTAGAGTCAGAACTGATTTATAGCTAATTGACCTACCAGTGGGTTTCTTTACATGCTTCCACATTCAAGTCAGGCTGTGAAACTTGCTTTTTTTAAAAAGGTGCTGGCCTTTGCTTGTTAGGACTTGTTTGGAAAGCTTTTGTTTGCTTTTCTCTTACAAAGGATATTTGTCACTCTTGTATTGTTGTTAGGTGTTGTCGAGTAGAGTACAACTGATAGGGACTCAGTGGACAGCAGATCTGAATTCTGTCCTATCTTTACCATTTCTGATACTCTTGATCCCATTTTTGCAGTCATTATAACATTCTATCTCACTGAGGATTATCTTCTTTTTTTGCTGACCCTCCACCTTTCCAGACATAATATCCCTTTGCAAGGAATAGCTTCTTCTAGTAACATGTCCAAAGTATGAAAGACAAAGTTTTGCCATCCTTTCCTTCCACGAGCATAACTGTTCATTATTTTGTCATTTCTTAGACTATTCAGTACCTTTCTCCAACATCACAGCTCAAAGGCATCAGTTCTTCTTCTGTCATCCTTATTTATTGTCCAGCTCTGC